CTACTACTACCACCACTACCACCACGAGAAGAGGAGACTCGTAACAATATCTAATCACGCATGCAGCATGCATGTACGTATGGTGCCAATTAAATTGTCTGCACTACATGTGTGATGAGGATACCGCGACTCAGGCCACAGCCCCCTAGTGCTGTTGCAATGCTACTTCAGTGCTGGAGTTCGGCCGAGAGACATGGCTGCCCTCTCTCTTGTACGAGGCAACCAACGGCATAGCCTTGCGACGGCGGAGAACAAGGGCTCGCATGGTAAACGCGCTGCACTGTCCGGACAAAAACTGTTTCGCGGCTGCAGATGTTGATGCCACCTCGCGTTCTCGGAGCTTCTCACAGTAGATCAAGCCACATTACCTTATAAACCACCTCACAGTTTACGCGCAAGATCTGAACGAGCCGAGTGAACTCTGCTACCGGCTGTCGCCGCTTCGTGTTGGCTAAGGCCGAAGGCCTGTTTCCTAGTCTAGGAGCTCGTGCAACTCGAAGGTCGCACTTCAACTTGCGGTCTGTTGCAGACTTCGCGTCGCCTCTCGATTGGAAGCTCTGCTGGCAGCTGGGCGAGATGCACTGCTCATTCCTGCTGTCGCGATATAGGGTTTAAGAGTTCAGGGTTTTAGGTAGGGTTTAGGGTCTCGAGACTGTTAGAGTGGTGGGAGAGTGTGGGAAGGCGGGGGACCATGGCAGATGCGTGCAGCAAGGAAGCAAGACCCAAAACCAAATGTAACTTCAGACAGCTGTCGAAAAGGCACTTGCAGCATTTACATTGCAGCACTGGGGTTCATCTTGAAGATCATGCCTCTTGTCTAGTCCTTTATTTAATTTCGCACTCCACCTAACTAACCGTATAAAATTCAAGCTGGCAGAAGCATTAGACGTTGCACATTAAAATGCTCGTTCGTCATAACCGGATGACACCACCACTCCGCCGACACACGATTTGAGCATTCTCATTCGTTTTCCGTCAGGTGGGCGCGAACAGCTTCATTGAAGCATTGCCGGCAGCAAGTCACTATGTTTACAACTGCGCCGCGCTTGCCGGCGGAAGAACGCCAGTCTCCCGCGGAAGATTTCGATTTCAGGAGCAGGTATTGGAGGTAAGATCAAGGGCTATACCACAACACAAGGCTACTCTGCATAGTTTGTACTGATACCACTGACGAGCGGGGCCCCGAGAGCAACGTCGAAAGAACGGAAAATGGGCTTGCCGAACAGCAACCTTAGCAGTGTCGGCTTGATAATTAAGCTGCTTAGCAGCGGCCTCTGCTTAGCAAAGGAGGAAAACGAAGCCTTACCTTCCTGTATAGTTTCCTGGATGAAGGACAACGGCTCGCCTAGATGGTCATTAAGTGCGTGCTGCTTCGGCCAAACACTGGCAATCGGCCATCTCGGTCAAGCTTGGAGTCCTTGTCGAACATCTTGTGCAACATCGGCAAATACCCCTCGAAGAGCTCTACCATCTCGTCGATGTCTTCTGTGCGATACCAATTGTAGCTTGGAAAATATTTCTCCGTATCTGTCTGCACCAGCTGCAGGGTCCTGTCTGCCCATATCACACTGGTCATGTCCCCATCCCGTCTCATCGCCATCAAACGCCAGTAGATACCCAGGAGAACGTCTCGCGTCTTGTGGCGGTCGCATTGAACATCCTTCGGGTGCATCCGACTGCAGCAGCTAAAGGTGCCTCCAAGGACGTGGAGGATCGCGTCGTCTGAGATGTCGTCCGAGGACTCCCCCGTGCTGTGGATGTCGCACCCATCGCAAATATACGCTGCCCGTTCCGTGTCTCCCATGCTAGAAGAGCCTGTCTTGAAGCTAAGTAGCTCAAGTCTGCACCACCCACGAGAACAGTACGAATGCAAATCCAGCAGCGCCCCAGTGTCGGCGTGCCTGCATCTGGGGGCCACTGACACGAGCGACGAGCACAGAGAAGCGTAGACTGACAAGGAGTTGATCGCTGCCTGCTGTTGAAAGGAGTTTGCCTGAGGAATCGAGGTGTAATCCACCCAAATATATCCGCACTTGAGGCCTTTCTCCTGCAACTTGTTGACGGCCACGAGGATGGCTTGGTAGTGGACGTTCTGCGGGTCGGGATGTTCGAAGCCGGCCCACTGGTGGCTTATGAAAATCACGCCCGAAAGTATAGAAACGTCGACGACATCTTCCTAGGTCGCAGGGCCGATGAGAGGTTAAGCTGACTGGTACTTCCTATCCGCTGTTCACCTACATGATGAGGATGTATCAACATAGACAATAAGCACAGTGCCATATCCAAGCTAGAGTCCGGTCGATCGAAACAACACAGCTTCGCATTGTCCCGTGCCTCCTCGTGACATACCAGACAACCCATGTCTATGAATTCGCGCAGCTCCACAAGATACCTCACAGACATGTGGCAGACACAGTTGCAGGCTCCTTGAACTTGGTAGGTGACTTCTATAACCTAAATGCTGCGCCTGCGCCTTGCTGTTGCTTGCACAGTATCATAATCGCAAGCAGCTGCGAGATGTTGATACACTCTGCCACCCTCAATTTCACTTCGATCTGTGTGTCGCTCGTGCATCCTTTGCTTGTACTGTCTTTCCAACCAATACATGGCTATTGGGCAATGAAGGTAAATTCGAGATGCAAGCAAGCAACTAATCAAAGCTGGTTGCCGGGATGCCAGTCACTGAGTTCTAAACCCTGATCTCTATGGCCCCACGCTACGTGCCAAGCCATTCACGCAGAACTGCCATAGCAGATTTGATGAAAAGATTGGCGTCTTTGGTTTGAGTTGAAGTACGATTCGAGAGATAGTGATTTGCATTCCTGAGTTTCCGAACTTCCTGCTGTTAGTTGTCGAGCTGCATTGGAAATTGGAAGGTGATCAAATTGGCAACGGCATTGTGGATAATCTCGATCTTCTCGGACTTGCGGTATCTTGCCAGTCCCTGCTGCTTCATGGCCTCCTTCCGAAGTGCGATGATGATGTAGACGCCAAGGAAGACGCCAAGCATCGCTGTTAGTGGTAGAACCAAAAGCAGTCGCCTCCAGAAATCATCAGAAACCACCGGCCATCCATCAAGCGGAGCGACTTTTAGGATCCATCGGAAAGCGAACTCCTCGACCGCCACATCCACCTTCACCGCATCTGCGAGCGACTCTGTCCTGGAGGAACGCTGCCATATGCCGCCTTCCTCTGCCAGAGAAGGATGCGGGCTGGGATCCGACAGCTCGTAGGCAAACTGGGAGATGCCAGCAACGCCTCCCTGTCCGCCCGTCTCCAGCGAAGACAAAGAAGTTGTTTGCAGAAAATCCTCGATGCCGGTTAGCATGGTCACAAAACCCCAGAAATAAGTGGGCTCCCCGCTAGGATCGAGAGGGCCCGGAAACGAGCACTCTGTTTCGTCGCGGGTTTCTGGTATGGAGCAGACTCTGGTGTAATTGACACCATCAGCACCCACGTACGTCTCATCAGGTAAATATTTCGGAGCATATCGGGAGAAAATGGGCCGCTGGGCAATGGCAGCTATTCCGCCTTGCACCAGCTTCAGAGGCCCGCTAACTTGGATTGTTCTTGAAACGATCGACTGGAGAGCGAAGTCTCTGCGCGAAGGGTTTAAGAGAAGGGCAAGGCCCAATGCTCCGCGGTTGTCTTGGTTTTCATCCACCAAGGGATAGATCTGCCGAATTGTCCCAAAGGGTGCAAGCTGCAGATTTGAGATGCCTCCGTAAGTGTCTATAAGGGTCTTCGCCAGTCTGTCAAAATCTTCGGTGCCGGAGCCACATCGATCTATTTGGAGAATGCCATCAAGTGCTTGAAGGCTACTGACAGAGGTCCGGAGCTGACGGGTAATGTCTGCAGCCTGCCTCTCAGCCAAATAGGTAACAGATTGCCGTGCATTGTTGAGCAAAGCTGCATCAGATGCATTCAGGTTGTAGATGCTGACTCCAACGATCGCAAGGATGATGGCCATGACGCCCCAGAATTTTCGCCATCGCATCCACAAAGGAATCCGTGTCCGTTTCGGAGCAGAATTGACGGATGACAAGTGACCCATAGCCATACTGGCCGAGCCGGTTGACTGCCTCACAAGCAGATGATGATGATGATGATGACGATGATGATGATGATGACGATGATGATGATGATGTTCTGATGATGGGGATGATGGGGACGACGACGACGACGATGATGATGATGATGGTGGTGGTGGCTATGAGGATAGGGTACCTACTTCAAAACGGCAGACATCCAAACTGGTTTTTGAATTCCGATGTAAACCATTGACTCTACAAGCCAGATAAAGCAAACACATGTGGAAGGAGGAGGCCACAAAGTGTAAAAGCAATGGGATCTCACCATGATGCAAAGTAACACGACCATCTCGCCCCAGCTGTTGCTACGGCCGCCTATACACCCTTTAGCTAGCTCGTCAGTGTGGGTGCCAACAACAAGTGATGAATAGTCTGTATGTGTAAGATTCAACAAATACTTCGTGACTAGCAAAATGGTGCAGTGGTTACCGGATAGATGCTCGCCTCTGTCCCTCTGCAGCTCCAGTGTCGCTGACAAGAATCCGAACCCACACCCAGCCACAGTGCTGGATTAATCAGGAACCCTGACTCAAGACCAGTCCCAGATCACACGGAGTGCGGCTGACGAGTGTACATTCCATGGTTGGGAGAGGTTTTGCCGTGTAGCATGTGGGCATTTGGCTAGCTAGCTGATAAAGATCTGCGACGTTGTCGGGTTTCAGAGCGACGCAACTTTCCTGCACTCTGCCGGCTCTGCCGGCACTCTGTGGTTTAATCACCCCCGCAGACTATTTGGACAAGCCCGGCATCACCACCAGGTCGTCATCGAGATCGGCAGTGGATCTGGAGTGCGATGAGCCATCGAAGCTCCGTGACCCTCTTGACGGGGCCAACGAAGCGCTCTCGAAACTGCGGGATCCTGGTGGTTCTTGCAGGCTGTCATGTGGCTGCTAGGTACCCTAAAATAGGGATCCTATGTGGGGTTATGATACTTACCCTAACCCCCCAGGTACCTACTATATAGGGTACTAGAGCCCTAAGATGCTATATAGTAGGTAATTACCTGGGGGGTTCGGGTTATATGTCCACAAGATAACAACTGACTAAGTCCCCCGACCCTCCAAGTTGCCCTAATGTCTCACCGAGGATCTGGACTGTGCCCTGCGGCCAATCGCGCTCGGCTCCCGCACATTCAACGAAGAACGCCGTGAAAGCCGCGGCATGAAGTCAGGAAAGGACTATTGCAGATTTTTGCAGTTTACCATGTTGGGGCTAGTAAGTGCTCACTTGCTTTCGGTCTAGAAGATCCCTTTCGGAAGCTTGTGAGGTTTGCCCGTTACATTTTGGAGAGTCCTCCTTTTGAGCCGAGCTGAATGCAAACACCAGCATCCTCCCGCCACAAGGCCGCAGCGCTGCAGATTCGACTTCAAGAAGAGCATAGGAGGGAGAGAAGATCGCTTCTCGGCGCACTCCTGTAAGCCAGGAGCGGCGCGAACTGCGTCTTGAAGGTCCTGCGGAAAGTATGGCTACTCAGCGAAGACTGGTCCGCAGGAGTCGTCGATGCTTCTCGCGAGCAAGGAAAGAAGCACACGAATCTCTTTGCTTCGGACGGGCCTGTAGGCTTCAGGGGTGTTCTTCATGGTCACCTTGAGGCGCTTGATCCTGCACAGGGGTTCTGCAGCAGACCCCAAGACTCCAACATCTCCAGGCCTGAGCTGATGTGGGCCTCTGAATGATCAGAATTTGCGGCTTGGATTGTATCATGCAGCAGCTATATTGAGGAACCCCACGCAAGGAAGTGCGTTGGCCACGTGGTGCGGGCGCAAACTTGGACGGCTCAGTTTCCATTTTGTGCAACACTCACTGAGACGGAGGCAAGAATGGAGAGTGGATTTGAAGCCGTTTACACCAAAGTCAGCCCGGCTTAAAGGGGAACTCGTTTCGGAAGTGCTTGGATCTGTCCATACATGTCATCGCTGGGAGGGACACCACCACACGTGCAGGAGTCTTCGCCGAGAGTATATCTCTCGACACAAAGCATCCGACGTCACTATTGTGACTGCTTTCTCAACGCAGTCGCTCAGTGTCCAGCATCTCGAATTGTAGTTTTCAAGCCGATGGATCGTAGTGCACAATGCACAAGCAACTGAGCCTAGGGTCCTTTCGAGGAAGAACCTTTTTACAATCTGATGCAACGTTAAAGCCGTGGGGCCATGCAAGCTCCCTGAACACGTAGCGCAGGGCACTTCACATTGCCGACAGGCATCGATCCGCATCCGGAGTTGAACCCGGCTCGAGACCCTTGGAAAGAAACGCCACCCGCACCCGCACCTGCTCCCACGCCCGCAACCGCACCTACGCGTGCAAAACAATTCCCTGACTGAGCTTGCACCCGAATTCTGACATATGCTGCAATCAAGCTCTGCCTGCTGATCTCGCCGGTGCGAGGGCAGCCGAGAACAGCAGTTTGAACATGGTACAGAATGCCACCTGCAGCTTCCAAGGTTCAAGGGCGGAGGTGCAGAGCCGCAGTTTGGGGATAACGGGAACAAAACAGAAAGGACACCACATCACCATGAGAACTTCGGAGTCGCTTCCGAATACCAGAAGTTTTCGACTAAAGGCCGGGCCACTCATGCTCATGGCATCGAAGTTGGAGGTGAGATTGTCTTCCTCCTTCAAGGCCCTGCCAATCATCGGACCAAGTCCTATTCTCTCTCCCTTCCGGGCTTCAGGGCTTCAGATTTCAGTCAGATACCTGCAATTCTTCTGTGATTTTGATGTGGATGGTGATGAGAACAACGCTGACCCATCAGAGCAACCGTTGTCATAATCATTGTTGACCCAGGCAGCGCCTGTAGACATAGAAAGTCTGCAGACGTGGGCCATCATCCAGCTCGCAGCCCATCGGTCCTGGAGACCACCATGTACGGTTTCACACCCAGCACACTCAAATCCCCAACTCCTGAGACAGGTCTCCAAAAGTGCTTCATTGTCAGTTCTAGGCTCAAAAGTAGACACCTTGCACATCCCTGAAGAAACTCTGAAAAAGCCAAGCCGCCAGGGGAGTAGCCTTGTGGACACTCTGCTGGCAGCTCGTCCGGACTGCATGCGTGTCAGAAGGTCGGCAGGGGATTCAGTACTACAAGGAACACTATAAGATACTATATGGGGTACGAGAAGGGCTTGCAAAGCCGCGAAACAAGTAATTCTCCGCAATCGTTCGTAGCCCGCCTTGCGCTACTCGTCCCGATGTCGAAGCCTGGTCCCTAGAGTGTTATTTGGCAAAGCACTCTCACACTCTCCGTTCAACCTGATGCTCACGCGCTGCAGGTCACCTGGTTTACATAGCTCCATGATGGAAGAAACTCTTGCTGGACATCCCAAAGCCTAACAATCTGTGACGATGACCCAGATCACTTGTACGTTGCAGACCCATCTGCCTCTTCCCAATTGGCGCTGGAAGGGAGGCTGGATTTTTGAAGCTCGGCTTCACGCAGACGTGGTGCCTGTGTCACGGTACCCACTCATTGAGCTTGGAGTTTCGGAGCCATGGCACAAGAGGAGGTTGCTGTTTAGTTGATGTCTCTCGGCTTCTTTACCTTACGGCCCGGCTTGGTGTTCCAGATCAGTCGAATTGGAAGTGTGCAGTCTTGCAACCATTTCTGGCGGCAACTGACTACAATTACATGTGCTGTAAGCGTTTCAGTTTGCTGAACTCGAGGAGGGCTCGACCTCATTCCTCCGTTAACACTACAGTTCACTACAGATACATGTGTGTTTATCTAGAAAAATGAGAGAGGCACCTTTAGGGCCTGTTTGACGCATTGATTTGGTTCCTGTGGGCAATACTATTTTTAAACAAAAAAGTATCTAAAATAACTAAATGATATTTTAATTGATTCAATTGTCTGAATTCTTTGATTATTTTCAACTATTTTATATATTTTAAAGAGTTCCAACGCTTTTTTATACTGAACTACTTGAATTCCCCAAATGTGTAAGATAAGTAAAACAATCATTGTAAATATTTTTTGTTTCAAATGTTGAAATAATGAAAATAGCTATAATTCGTATTCCACTGAGAAACCCAGGGATGAAAATCTTCCGGGTCGCCCTCGTAACCGCCCCGCTCATAAACCCCAAGGTCCCAGAGCCCTGTCTGTTTGAGGGTTTGAGAGCTATGCCGCCAAGCGGCTCCCTTGAGGAGAAGTAGACCTGAGTTCAAAGTCAGGTTCAGGGTTTAGGGGTGATCGGAATGCGACACGAAGAGAGCCACTTAGCCAGAGCCTGCACCTGAGAGACAGTCTTGCATCTACAGAACACGGAAACGGGGGCAGTGACATATGTGTATATATGTGAAGTACATATACAAGGCACACCTATAGACCTATATGCAGCGAAACTTGAAAGCACCCAAACCCTGAACCTCAACCCTAACCCCAAAAAGCCTTAAATGCCTCAACAAACCCCTAGAAAGCCCTAAGCGCCCTGAACAAAAGCCCTGCCAGCCACATGCCATCCTTTGACTCCAGGAAGCCACGGCTCGGCACTCGTCGGTGGTGTAGATGTCCCCATATTTGCAGCAGGCCATCCCCCGACCACACCTGGTGCAAAGCCCACTGTAGACCACTCGATTAGGAACAAAAACGTCCAAAGGGATTTCATATAGATCCGTAAAATGAGGGGCCCTAATCAGGGGTAGTGGGATGCGCAGCCAGCAGCTAACATTTAGCGGTCTGAGGCCAACACCAACTGCATCGACCGTTGCCTTCGCAGTAGTCGTAGCAATCCTGTGCGCCGCCAGGCTCTTTGCAGAACGCGTCATGCATCAAAGATCCGTGTTGTCCCTTTCATGTCTGCCGATGTCTTCCTTCTCCGGGTGGGTGAAAATTGTAAACATGGCCACAGGCACTCGAAAATCTGTGCTGCACAACTCCTAGCAAAACGGCTTTAAGATACTCTTGCGATTCGTACACACCCCAAGATCAACTGTAAGATACTTCTTGCGATTCGCACACACACACACACCCCAAGTCAAAGCAACTCAGCCGTGCCAGCATCGTCGTCATCAGCGTCGTTGTGCTACAGTCGACGTCGTTGTGGAGCAGCACCCGCTGTCAAGTCACAGCGGTTTTAGATCAGATTAACGACCCCTGACTCTGACGGTCATGACACGGAGTTGGGTCCTGCCCTTCGTGCTTGACCGGAACATCATGCACTGGCTTGATGCAGGTGTGATGACCTGAGCCCCTCTCTGCATGAACTGCTCAGAGCAGCAGGGCTTTCGATGCCGAATTCTGAAGCCTGTGGGTAAGCTATGGAGGGCCATCTCTGTCTCTGCACCGAGACGAACCCCCTCGTTCAGGCCATGATGCATCTTTACGTGTCAACCTCCGTGTAACACCCGAGTTTGCATCTGAAGTGCGACAGATGAGCTCTCAAACAGGTGTGCACCAGGACTTCATGCGTCTGAGAACATATGTAAGGCTAGAGGAGCAATCCGGGACCGGTTCTCGTGTTCATCTGGACCCAGACAATCTGATCAGTCTTGTAGGTTCCCTAAACCCTGAACCCTCAACCCCTATATTATAAACCCTAAATGCCCTTATAATTCCGGATGTGTTCTGATCTTGGTTTTGGCACACGGAAGCTCCCAGCAGTCGGGGATAGAATAAAGCAGTCCCTGTGATGATCATTGAAAACTGTCCGGTTGGCGATGACGGGTGCCGGAAATCCAGAGATTCTGAGGCACAGGCGATCTGTGGGCCAGTCGACCACGCCTTTACCTGTGGAAAGTTGCCGTGGCGCAGGGTGGGGAACCCGGCAGCATGCATGTGCTGCAGCTGCTTTCTGACATTCCCGATCGTTACACCTACGCCAAACTCTTCATGGGCCCTGCAAGCAGGACAATCTTGGGCCGTGTGAAGGTGCAGGGCAATCTTTGGAAGTAAACGCATGCATGCTTCAGTCAAAGAGGGCGGATCTACACTGGTGGAACAGTGCACATGCCATCCAGAGCAAAAGCCCGCATACAGAGATGACAGTTCGTGAAGAGTTACTGATACTGATGAAGAAAACGATGACGGTGGCGCTGATGGTAAGAGACCGACGAAGGTGACAAAGCCGCCGATGACAGCAGCAACCAATCACCACTACTACCACCATCACCAGTTGCAGTAGAAGTAGTCGCATGCGTAATGAGCACGTCAGGAACGCACTGTTCCCAACAGGCGGGGACCCGCAGGCCTTAAGGGCGGCCTGCATGTTCGGTTCACAGCACTGGTAGTGGTGGTAGTAGTAGTAGTAGTAGGAGGAGGAGGAGGAGGAGGAGGAGGAGGATTCGTAGTAGTGGTAGTGACTGGTAGTGGTCTGGCAGGAGCAGGAGCAGGAGCAGGACCGGCAGTAGGAGCAGCAGTAACAGTAGGAGTAGCAGTAGCAGCAGCAGCAGCAGCAGCAAATAGTCGCAGTGGTGGCAGTGGTAGTGGCAATGGTAGTGCTGGTGGAATTGTCGTGGTCGTGGTAGTCGTAGTGGTAATGGTTGGAGCGGGGGTCGTCACATGCGGCAGTACAGTAGTAGGATGTCGCCATTGCAACTATCAAAAACCCATGAATGTCGTAACAAGCTCACGTCGCCAAGCAGCATTCCGGCGGATCCAGCGTGCTATTCTTTCGACCTGTCTGCACAGCGTTAACTGCCTGCGTAGTAGAATAGAAGGCAGGGATCCGACAGCCGATAACCTGCACCTGTGTCTCCACAACGTGATCCCAAACACCCACGGTGTAGATACATGAACACACACACACACACACACACACGCGCGCGCACACATCAGCCTCGAAGTAGGACGTGTCCCTTTCGAGCATTGTCAAAAACAGGTCTCCACGTTAGGCCCCGGGCTGCTCATGGCACAACGCAACACGAGATGTTGTTTGCAGTATATCGGCTGCTAAGCAGATTCAACATTATATGACGTCAGACAAGAGGCGACTGACAGCACGCCAGAAACCCTGATGCGAATCCCTTCAATACAACATACAGACAATGGCTTTCGATGTCCAGCATTTCAAAACGATTTTTGGGTATCGGACAGCAGGCTTGGCCGAAACCGCACCAGGCGCAATCGCCCCCAATCTTGCAACGATCCCAGCAATCCTGCAGGCGACCGTGCTGGCAGAGCTCATGAGCACTTACTGTTGCGGCAGTTTCTCAAGGGGCAAGGGTTGGCAGCCTTGTGTTGTGCAGCGGGCTCATAAGCGAGAAACTGGACTGCGCTTGTTGATGAAGAGGCGTTGCTCGGCTCGGGCCCTTGTTTTTCGGAAGTGGTGCAGAGCAACAGTGATACGTAGTCTACACTCGTCCTATGCAGTCTTCCGCTGGATTGCTGGGAAATTCGCTTGTATAGTCCAGTACCAGCTAGTTACAGCTGGTCGTAAGTTGGGCCCTTGACACCGGACTGTCGACATATCATCGCAGGGTTTTGTCATCGCCAGCATATGCTTCTGAGCTTAGGCTGGTCGATGTCTCAGTGTATTTCAGGCCGTCATGAAACATTCGTCAGTTTTGTCCGCCCTGTGCAAATACAATGAGCAAGCTCAGAAAGCGCAAAGACTAGTCATACGTGCAAAGCTCAAGCGGAGCCGAGTCCTGGGCGTAGTGGTTTGCTTTGACCTTGACCACTGGCTGGACCTGGTTGGTTCAGCAAAGCCAACTTTCGGGCGTGAGGGCGAAGGGTGCGGCATCCACCACTCCTACAGCTACACTAGGGTCACAAGGGATCCCAGAGGCTCAATCCACAGGCTCCGACGCACTCGTGGTGGCTGGTCCAGAAGTCCGTGACGTGTGCACACTCGTGGGGATCGCCGATGGCCCCCTGTCGCCAAAGTACGGCTTACAGGTCTCAGTGTGCGGGCTTCAGGAGGACAGGGGCAGCATGGAGACAGCTCAAACACTGTTGATTTTGCAGCGCCAGGGCTTGCCAAAGACCAAAAAATAGAAGTTCTGTTCGAACGAACGACTTCTTGTGACCAACCTGACAAACCCCCCCCCCACCCTCGCTTCAAGCTTCTCCTACCTTTAAGCTTCAGAGCAAACTTATGAGGGTGTTGCTGAGCTCCAAACAAAACTGAACAGCTTCTGGATTTCCGTGAAGCCTGTTGTAACCCCACTTTTCCTCATGAGCAGACTTTGGCCCAGTCTTCTGCTGGCTGCGGAAGGAACTGTGGTGTCAGAGCCATCTCGGAGCCCTCCATCAAGATGCAGATCCTTGGCTGCCAGGAAGAGGGCTACTGGTGGAAATACTGAACTAAGCACATCACTGACTAACTAAGAAAAGGCGCATGAGACATAGAAGTTTCATGTAAGGTCATGCAAGAGCGCAGGGAAGAATGCCGCAGCTGGACCATGAGGGTCCCAGGGAACCATCAAGGTCAAGCCCTCCCCTCCTCCCCAAGAAGCTGGTTGCTGCCTACTTGGCCTTGTGGCTTGTTACGTTCGGCACTTCTGGGCTCTTTGGGTGCAGCCCTCGGACCGCTTTTCGGTTGATGAGGGCGAAAATTCCTGAAGCAAGCCTGACTGGTGCGAAGCATCCCGACAGTGTTTGAAATGGCTTATCGGCTAAGTGTTGGCTGCAGGACACCCCCCAGAAAATTGCAACCATTGTCAATACAAGGCCACAAGTGACCTACGGCTGATGGACAAAATCCTGCATGACCTTGTATACCTAAACTATGTATGGGATTTGTGGTACTATAATATACTTGGGCCATGCAGAATTTTGTCCATCAACAGTACGATGCGTCTTGCCGAAAGGAGGCAAGGACAACCGTACGAAGCAAGGACCTTCCACTGAGTTAGCCGGGGAGCGCCGAGCGGTAGAAGCTTGACGAGCGGCGCCAGGATTCCAAGTTGAACTTCGCCTTTCTAGAGCCGTCCCAGAGAGCACACAGCACCCACATGTCTTCGACATGTCTTGTGGACCTAATGGCTGCCGTGTGCTCGATATTCTCAAGTAGGGGCTGCGGCACTTTCGGACCATGCTTCAGCTGCCTATTCCTTGTTCCTCTCTTGTTGGGGCCCCTTCAGCTTGCAGGACGCGGCCTCTCTTGGAAGCTTCAGGTCCAGGCACCCTAGTAGGGCTCCCAAGCTCTAGCAACGGAGCATCCGAAGCTTCCCCTGGGCTTCCGGGCCATGGACTCGTGAAGGGCAGTCAAATCAGCCCCCAACCTGACTCGGGCTCCAGGACTCCAGCGATTCAGGGATTTTTTAGTTCCCGGATTCCCGTTCTTTCCAGGTCGGCTTCGAAGGGCCAGGGAGTCTTTGACGAAACCTTGCGCGGGTCTTTACCTTCATCTCATCCATAATGGGGGTCGTCGTGCTTCTTTGCTGGAGCCCCCCCTAAACCCTAAACCCTAAACTAAAACCTAAACCCTAAACCCTAAACCCTAAACCCCCTATACCCCCAGCAGGCAAGACGCGTCACCCGTCTCGTCGCAGATCTGATGTGCCGAGTCCATGAGCCCCGGAAACTCCTGGGCCTGAACCTGAGCCTCGAAGCTCTGGGAACATCCTACACATCCCTACAGTATAATAGTAGTAATCATAGTAGTAGTAATAATAATAGTAGTAATAATAATAGTAATAATAATAATAGTAATAATAGTAGCAATAATAATAGCAAAAAAAACAATATAATAATGATAGTAATATAGTAATAATAATAGAATCATGTTTGCAGGCGGCAGTCTGAACTTGATCCTGGACCTACGCGACTTACCACCTGGCACCGGCCCAGCCGCAGACCCGTCGCCAGTTCGGGCGCAGAGGCAAAGAACTGCAGGTGGGGGAACAGGGCGTAGTCGGTAAGTTGAAACCTGGAGATGTAAAGCTCATCATATCAGCAGCACAACTACATAACTACCGGGATAGCCGAAGAGGGTGAGAGCAACGGATGTTGACCTAGCAGTCGAATCTACTTACTGACCATTCCGTTCTTCGGGCTCAGAATACAGTAGTGTACATCTGAGCACGTACCCTTGGCGAGTCTGTCAGAGTCTGACCAGTTTTGTAAGGATGATGCTGACAAGCAAAACCAGAGCTTGCTTCACCCGTGCTGCGAGACAACGAATGTAAGGCTAGAAATCGAGGGAAGCACCACCAACCACTACTACGACCGCTGCAATGACGACTGTACGACTGGGTCGGAGGCGCAGACGCAGCCGAAGATGTAGTTGAACTACCACTACAACGACGATTTCTGGTACTACAACTTCTAGAACTGAACGAGAATCAATATATTGTTCTCGAAGCTTGGTATTTGATCAGGGTATCGTTGCTGGGTTTCCCGTATCGTTTTACAGTGCATGTTCAATTGAATGTAGTATGGGTGGCACTCTAGGAGACATACAGAGCTGTTCACATGCCTCAGTAGCAGCGGTAGCAGCAGCGGCAGCAGCAGCAGCAGCAGCATTAGCATCAGCAGAGCAGCCGTCGCAGCAGCACTAATTAGTAGCAGTAGTGATCGGCAGCAGCTGCTTAAGAGCTTCGGCAGCTGCTACAGACGGGTCGCCAAAATGCCGGAGCCAGAGGGGAATCGCTGTGTAGGTCCACGGGGTCCTTAAGTGAAGCGGACTGAACAAACGTGCTGCTTTCAACTTCCAACCCGCGCTCCCCGAATATCTCATAACCGCCGCTTTCAAAGTGCCGAATCGTGCTCTGTACTGACCGTGATCTTTTTGGATCATGCTGGGCTTCCCTGCAGGTAAACCTGGCCAACACCAAAAGTTCCTACTTGCGAACAATCAAATCACAGCGATGCTTAGCATGCCGTGACAGAGATGGTCACCCGTTTTCTGTGTGATGTGCAAGCCTCTATATACTCTCAGGCACCTGCTGGTTCCAACAACATGTGCTTGATCCCTGAAAAACGCACAACACACCCGAGGCCCGAGAACCGACCGAGCCAAACACAAACTTAGTCCGAAAGCTACGTGCCTTCTTCCATGATTTGGTCCCGAACCCTTCGTGAATGACCCTACGCTTGGGAACTACAGCAAGACGAGACAGAACTCTCAGCTGGCGCGAATGGCGATGGAAGAACACAGTGGATTGTTGAGATGTACACAACTTTCAAGATCTTGCACCGATGTGGAAAACTTGTGAAGGTGGTAATTATCGAGGACGTGTCGCAAAGTTGCGATTTACGTACTTCAACTCGAAACGACCCCCCCTTTTATTTTCCCCGCCCACCGAGGAGGAAGGAGGCAAAGGGCCTGACAAACTTCCCTACAAGAGGAGGGAAGACTCGAAGTTGGGTGAGGGCCACCCACGGTGTCTGACACATGGGCCCACATATGCATCCCCTAAGGGTCCATGTACCCAAATAGTATATACTTTGGCCTTAATGTAGCCCCTATATCGGTAGTTTGGGGTCAATGTAAAAAAACTATTTGGGTACATGGACCCTTAGGGATCAGTTCGGCAGAAACCGGGAAAAGCAAAGCCAGCAAGGGGCGCAGTGCTTGTCACAAGGCTCTCGCAAGCCGCACCTCATGCGATTAGGTGGTGATCGGCATCAGCATTGGCGCAAATGAAGCGATCGAAGCTGCCCACCCGACCCCCCCCCCCCACCCCGCACTTTCGACGTGCCAAGGAGCTGTCGAGTTGAAGAACAATGACCTCGAGGCCACTTTTGAAGAAAACACTTTAGAGGATTGTGACAATCACTAGCCTTAACCTCCGGGATCTTATGTGCGTAATTTCTCCCGTCACGCCTCGAAGCCAACCTGCACCAGACTGTAGACGCTACCCCGCCCTCACTGTCCTCACATGAACTCTCTCCCTTGTGTATAAGAGTCACAGAACCTCGAACTTGCCGCAACCCCCAACCACAAACCAACCCACTCCCGACACGAAGAAAAAAGAGAAGAATAGCAGGGCCGTGCAGCTGTGGCAAGCCGCACCCATTGGCCGCAGCATCACCTTCGGCTAGGACAGCATTCCAGCGAGCAGCGAAGACCTGGAGACATGGGCTAGGAAGTCCAGGCCGATGGCGGTTGAGGTGAATGCAGGCTGGTGCGTCCCAAATTCGGGTTTGGGGCAAGTTCTTGGGCACGCGAACTCGAAAACCATGCGGGAGTTCTGCACAGCGGTTCGATGCCCCCGAAGAGTTGACTTCCCAAACGTCGCCAGCGTCTCCACGGAAATGCTTCCAAAAGCACTGAATAATTATTGGGGATCCGGGCAAGTCCAAGGCATAGCGTCTATCTGAACCACATGAAGAAACATGGCTACTGGAACCCGGAAACACCAGCTGATTGGCGTAAGACAAGCTAGCAAAGGTCTTTGTTGATTTCAACTTGACTCTTAACATGCGTCGCGTATACCATGTAAGAACCATCGGGATTTTCAAGACGAAGTTCTGAGTAGCGGTATTCGCCGACGGCGTGGATCTTGCTCCAGAGATCTGCTGTAGGCAACCAAAGCGGCATCGCCATCTCATACTGCTCCCAAAACCTGAGGCAAGTGTCGACCGAGAGGACAGTTTGAAAACTTGAATGCCGGACGACCTACCACGAGTTAGATGAGTCCTGCCAAAAGCCGTGGTGTCGTATCGTAAGTGACCAAGACTTGCAGCATTTCGTGGAACCTGGCTCTATCAGTTAGTAGAACCCTTGCACATTTTGGGTAATAATACCACCAGTCAA